GAGAAGAGGATCTGACAGGTGTGTATAGGGGAAAATCAAGGAAGAGAAGAGGGTGAAAAAGGAAACTGAACACCTTGCATGTTTGCTTGCAACCTGACCATCTGCACACCCATCCACTCTCTTGTCAAAAACAACTGATAAGATACTGTAAAGCAACCTGAACCCAGGTAGGGCTATATCTGCTTAAAGTTCTGAAGAAAGAAGTTTGCTTGCTAAATAAAATAGGTGTACTCAAAAATTCAAATCTAATTGAAGCTTCTGTGTTGCTACATCTGCATTTTGTACCGGTGGAACTCTTCATGCCATACGCTAAGAAAAATATGCTCATTTTTGTAGCCTTGTATCAGACCATGACTGATTTCTGATTGGCAGAGAAATCTTATTTTGTTCTGAGAATTAACACACTTATCTCAATATCTTCTATCACTCTTCTCCACCAGTGATCCCCAACTTTCCTTTATTTCTAACATCACAATGTTGTTTTCAGAACAGCATTATGTTTCACTTTTTATTCTGTACTGTGCAGCTAGAATCATAATCAGTATTAGGTTAATTTAGTCAATTTGCACATAGAAGTTCTAAATATTTAGGGGCTTGCCATTTAGTTTTTAACAATTCTTCTGCTTCCATCACCATCAAAACTGCAAATGAGAAAGCTAGACTCATTGTATATCGGGGATGCTTTTTTGCATCTGTATCCAATATGAAACCACTTCCGCACCCCTCAAGAAAAAGGTTCTTGGTGATGGTGGTGCGTGGGAGAAGGGGATTTATAACAAAGCTCTTTTGGGAGGGAGTGGTGGAAATTAACAGTGAGCCAAGGTTAACAAGAGAGGTTTTATTAATATTTAAAATCAGCCAGTACTGAAAAGCAAAGTCCTAGACATCTTGCTCACAGCTGCAGAATTGGCAGGATTCCAACAATTAAATATTGATTATTGTATAAATCCTGTACTTCATAAAAATCCAATCAAGTATTTAAAAGCTTTAAAATATACTCCATAATCCTTAACAATCTCCTTCCAGCTCCTGGCTGATATTTGATACTTCTGCATTCTGTCAGGATTGACTAGATCAGAGCAACTGTTGGCACGTGACACTGGTGGGCCACGATGGTTTGTTTACCTGCAGCATCTGCAGCTCCCACTGGCCGCGGTTCACTGTTCCAGGCCAATGGGGGCTCGTCCCAACCCACCAGTGGATTTCCCTGACAGGCCGCTTGCCAAAGGTTGCCAATCCCTGGACTAGATAAAGGCCTGAACATCAACTCCCCAGGCATACAAGTGTCATCTCTGAGGGTTTTAAGAAACAAGATGGAATGCTTTTTTAGGGGAATGATCCTGAGGTGTTTATGAATTACCAATACTGTCTGCTAAACTGAAGCTCAACTCTCACTTTGCCCTGCGAATCCTCAACTTGGTGGTACATAAAGAAATAGGAGGGCGGAGAAAGGTCCCAAAGACGTCCTTTACACTTACAATATAGTTTCCAGGAACTTTGTGCTTGGCCAGAGGAGTGAGGAAGCGCCAAACTCTTCCATGCAGAGAAATCCTATCTAGATTCCCATTGGGCAAAGGTAGAGAGTATGTTCATGCATCATTTCCTCCGGTAGACTTTCTGTTTCCATGGTTCTCAAGAAAGCTCTCCCCAAATGACTTTTTCTGCCAGGTTCACGAAGCAAGAAAAAGCACCATCTACACACAGGCATGGTGAAGAGAGCTCTGTGTAACTATACAGAATAAAGTCTAGAGGTAGGAAAAACAATGTTATTCCATGGGAAAATCTCCCAGTAGGTCCAGCTAATAATCACTCTTCACGGTGGGAAGTTACACCACAGAGATCTGCTTTTTTTCCTGTTGTCAAATGGGAAATGTTTAAGCCCTGCTCTATAAAAGGGACTTAGGAGAGAAAAATTATAGGTAAGGAACTGCCATATTGGTTCTGAAAGCATTTAAAGTCCCCACATTAATGGAAAGCAGTTGAACTGTCTGGGACAGGTGCGGTCTTTTCACCGTATGTCTATACAGGGCTTAGTGTCCTTTGGGAGTGGAAAGAAAATTTGAAATAATGCTGTATAAGCTAAATCAGTGTATTTAAACAGACTCTCCATTTGATATCATCCTTATAGGACATGGTCTTTATACAGAAGAAAGAAGTGTGCTCCAGTAATTTTAGACATGGGATTTGGAATCAGAAATCTTGACTCTGATACCAACTCCCTCTGTGGCCTTGGACAAGTCAGTTGACCTGTTTCTCCGTTTCCCCTTCTTAGTTGTGGGTGATCAGTACTTAAGCTATACATTAACTGCTGAATAAATTCTTACTATTAAAACAATCTAGGGACCCGAAAAGTAATTACTGTGTCAATTTAATCCTTTAATCATTTAAACTAAGGATTATGCTTCATCTCAGTCTTGGCACATCACTCTTGTTAATGATATCACTAGCAACAAAGCGATAGTATCAAGACAAACAAACAAATAACGCATTCAGAAGTTAAAATGCTCATCCGGACTTATCCAAAACTCTTTGGCATCAATATTAGGCTGAAATCCAACTGAGAACAGGCTGTCTTATATTACCCTGATACTTCAAATTCTGGCCAAATCCAGAAAGTGTGGACGCGTGCAATGTGAAATACTGGCATACAACTGAGAAAATGTAACTAAATCTTCTTGGACCCAAATTTTAGTTGAGATTCAAGCATGTTCAAGTCAAATCTCCCATCTCGAAATACTATACAGTAGTATTATAGCATACTCCATGGAAAAGGAGCAAAACACCTTTTCTGAGAGACAGCTAAAAAGGAGAGAATGCCAAACTCTACTCAGTTCCAGTTTCATTTGCACTAGTGTAAAGTAAGAGTCATGTCATTGGTTTCCTCACTTGAACCTCACACAAAGGTGTTGTAAGAGTTGCACAGCACCCTGAAAATATAAAACAGTGTAATAGTATTTGGCCCTTCACATAAGTTTGACATTAACAGCATTTTAAAAGCTTTTTAAAATTATTTGCATCTGTATGTGCTTTTAAAGCCACCTGGAAAATTAGGTTATATTCAGAAAAGTGATTCTCAGAGTGACATGGTTGTATTCCAGTAATTTTTTTGACTTCCATATCAGACTTGCTTGGTTTGTAAGTCAAAAAGTTTCCAAATTCAAAATTTGTAAATTCAAGTTGGGACCTAAAAGCCAAGCCCTATTCTTTCATCAGACAACAAGAGATCTGTCAACCAACAATCTTCTTGATAACACATGTGGTGGGGAGAATCCCACTCATCCTATCATAGCTGTACTGACTCTGTGATACTAATGGAAGTAAAAATTTTGTTTGTGGGAATACAGCAAGCAGCTATACCATCTTCAGCAGGAGGGGGACACATGCAAAAGAAATAACTTTTCAGTACATCGAATAGTCATTCAACCATATCCTCCACTCTAGAACCTGATCTTAATACATGAGTGTATGCAAGTCAGCTATTTAAACCTGCACATTGCCAGTTATACTTCTAGCTGGCCACTTATACATGACAATTTCGTATGCAATTATGGTATTTGCATACACCCATTCAGGCCCTAAATAATTTTTAAAACCTTCATTTTCTATATTTTAACTAGACATCAGTTCCAAATAAAAAGGAGAGGATACTCACTCTGTGCAATAACTGTAGTTCTTAGAGATGTGTGTTCCTATGGGTGCTCCACATCAGGAATATATGCTCCCCAGGCACCTTTGATTGAAGTTTTAAGTAGAAGTGCCTGTTCAGACAGCATATGCACTCTTCTCCACCTCGTGCTCTGCACCATAGCTATCTAAAGCTGCATGGGAGAACTGCTCACAGTTCCTTCTCTACCACAAAGCTCCATAGCAGAGAATTCCAAAGCAAAGGGGAAAGCGAGAGTGTAGTGATGCACCATATCTCAAAGAACTACTGTTACTATACATGGTGAGTAACGTCTCCTTCTTCAAGTAGTGTCCCTATGGGTGCTCCACGACAGGTGACTATCTAGCAGTACCCTCTAAGGAGGGGGAGCTTCAGAATGGAGACCAAAATTGAAGACAGTACAGTACAGCCATACACATCACCAGAAGCTGAGTCATGAATTACTGCATAATATTCAGAAAAGGTGTGTATGAAAGTCCAAGTTAAGGATCTACATATTTCATCAATGGGAACGTTCTTAAGAAAGACTACTGAAGTAGAAAAAGGTCTCATTGAATAGGTTATGACTCTAGAAGGAGGCTGGAGATCATGAGACTGATAACAAAAGGTAATGCAGCCAGATAGCCATCTAGAGAATTTTTTTTTGGAAACTGGAGATTCCTTAGACCTGTCTGCAACAGACATAAACAATGGAGATTTTCTAAATGGCTCAGTTCTGTCCAAGTAAAAGGCTAATGCCCTTCTGACATCAAGTGCATGTAATACTGCATTCACCTTATTCAGGAGTGGTTTAGGAAAGAAAACTGGGAAATGAATAGACTGTTTAATGTGGTAATCAAAGGACACCTTCAGTAAGAATACTGTGAAGGGTGGAATATGCCATCAGAGCCCTGTCTCCCCAGCTCTTAGAGTAAAAGTAATGGCTACCAAGAAGGCCATTTTCATAGACAAGTCAAGAAGGGGACACGTTGCCATTGGCTCAAAAAGAGGTCTCATAAGGCATCTAAGCACCCAGTTGAGGTCCCAAACTGGGGTAGGATGTTTGAAAAGATTTCCCAATCCCTTGAGAAACCTCACCATCATTGGATGAGCGAACACTGAAAAACCCTCCATCAGGAAACGGAAGGCTGTAATGGCTGCCAAATGTACCCTAATGGAACTCAAAAGACAAACCTGAATTGTTCAGTTCTAGGGTGTAATCTAGTGTATCTAACAATGAAGAGAACACAGATGAAAGGTGTCTTAGGTCACATCAGCGGCTGAATCTCCTCCATTTTTGTAGGTAAGTATTATGGGTAGACTACTCTATGTAACAATATTCTTCTTACTTCCTCAGAACAGGTTGATTCTAACCCTGTGAACCATCAATCAGCCATGCTTTGAGGTGAAGAACACCAAGGTTGGAGTAAAGAAGTTGACAAACATCCTGAGAGAGAAGATGAGGGATGATCTGGAGGATGATCAGTTGACAAGCAGTCAACTTGATGAAACAAGGAAACCCTGTCTGTCTTGGTCATGTCAGAACCATCAGAATAACTCTGGCCCTGTCTTTCCTTATCTTGATCAGCACTTCGGATATTAGTGGAGCTGGAGCAAATGCATACAGACCCAACATCCAGTGAAGGAGAAAGCCATTTCCCAAGGAGTGGAGACCCAGTCCACCTCTTGAGCAGAACTGGGGGTACTTCTTGTTTCTGGCTGTGGTGAACAGTTCTATCTCAGGGATGCCCCAGCACTGAAATACGAAGTGAAGAATAATGGGAGTTTGCTCCCACTTGTGATCCTGAAAGAAACACCTCCTGAGGGTATCTGCAGTGATGTTTTGAATGCCCGGAAGATAAGCCACTGAGATGTTGATATGACTTTGCATGCACCAACCAGCCTTGCATGGTTTATCATAAAATTCCCAGCTGCAGTATGGCCCAACAACTGGAGACAGTTTTTGACCAATGTCTGGGGCTGATTTAGACTGTAGTGACTAAATTCAATAGGGTTGTAAACCTGTGCATTAGGAGGGAGGCTTTGGCCACAACCGCATCTAGGTAAGCTCCTAGGACCTCCAATATTTGCACCGGGGTCAAGGTGGACTTCTGAATGTTTAACTGCAGTCCCATTCTATGGACTTCTGAGTGGCCACTGAGTTCTCGTGGTACGAGCATCCCTTTGGCAGTCAATCGTCAAGATTTGAGAATATTAGGATTCCTCTTCTGCAAAGGTAAGCTGCTACCACTGACAGAATCTTTGAAAACACTCTGGGAGCAGAAGAGCGACCGAATGGAAGTGCTCTGTATTGAAAGTTGTTTTGACCTAGAATGAAACAGAAGAACCTTTTGTGGGAAGGGTGGATCGCTACATGGAAATATGAATCTTGTAGGTCAAGGGCTGAGAACCAATCCCCTATGTCCAATGATGGTATTATTGCTGCAAGTGTTACCATTTTGAATTTCTGTGTCTTCACAAACCTGTTGAGGAGCCTTAGAACTAGAATGGGCTCCACTTGCCATTCTTTTTTAAAACCAGGAAGTACCTGCAATAAAACCCCTTCCCTCTATGTTGTACAGAAACTGGTTCTATAATGCCTAAGTTCAGGAAGGAGTCTATTTCCTGCTTTTGGAGATGGTCATGAGAGGAGTTCCTGAAAAGGGATAGAGAAGGAGGTGGCACGAAGGGAGGGAGGTAAAATAGATGGAGTATCCTGCTGATATGATCTCCAAAACCCATATGTCCATGGTGATATGCTCCCAAGCTTGATGGAAGTGAGAAAGGCAGTCCACAAAGTGAGGAAGGTACGTGAACCATTCCAGCTGGTCAGAGGAAGGCAGGGGGTAATTCAGAACCTTGACCACGCTACCAAATCAATGGTTCGATTATGAGGATTGTAAGGTCAATGCCTGTGTAGCAGGTCTCTTTTTCTGGAACCTCTGCCTCTTTCACTGAGGTTCATAAGACCTCTGGGAGCAGAGAATTGAGCAGAATGAGATCTCTGTGCTGTCTGGGATTAACTAAATTTCCTTTTATGCACCAGTGTGTAAATTCTCTGAGAACGCAAAGTGGCCCTTGGATTTTTTAATGGATGCGAAGACTTATCTGTATTCTCCGCGAACAGTTTGGAGCCATTGAAGGGAAGGACCTCCATCAGAAATCCTCAGAGTTGAAGCCTGGAGGCCCTTCTCATGACTATCACCATAGAATAGGGTGAGCAGCTGTGTCAGTGGCATCCAGAGAAGCCTGAAGAGATGTTCTGGCAAGGAGCCGACTCTCTGTAATGATTGCCTGGAACTGGTCCCTCTGCTCTCATGGTAGATTCTCAATAAATGAACTAAACTTTGAGTAGTTGGTGTGATTGCATTTCACCACCAATGCCTGATAGTTGGCAATTCTAAACTGCACAGTCACAGATGAATATGATTTGTGACCAAATAAATTGAGACACTTCTGATCTTTATTATACGGAGTTGATTTAGTGTGTTTTCTACATTCATTTACAGCCTCGACAACTAGGGAGTTGGGAGAGGGATGAGAAAACAGAATCTCTAGATCTTTAGATGGAACATAATGTGAACAGTACTGTTGCTGGGGTATGCCAGTTTACTTTTGCAAGATCCAACAGAGCCTCATTAATAGGTAGTGAATACCTAGCAGTTTGTATTGTGACTCCTTAACCTCCTCAAGTTGAATTTGTAAGGAGTCTGCTAGCCTTTTAATGAAGTCCTGGAGCTGTATGGAGTCATCAGCCAGGGATGGTGGGGGAGGCATGACTGCTTCATCAGGGGCTGAAGAAGAGATGTTGGTTGGTGGGGTGACATCTTTGTCCACTCTGACCTCCTGTTCCTTGAAAGTATATTATTGAGGTTGAGGCCTTTATAAGAGAAAGGACGAGGGTAGGGAAGATTGTCTACCCTGGTCATGGGAAAGAGTGATTCTAGGGGTCCTATAGAATTGTTGGTAGTATGCCACTCATGAATCCTACTATGGCCAATGAGGGGGCCTGTAGTGAGGCAGAGTGGCCTCCCTCAGCGCGTGACAGGGAGGGACCACTACGAACCACTACAGGTCCCATATGGTATAGGTGGAGGCACTGAAGAGTGCTCAGACCACCAGGATGGAGCTTCAGGGTGTCTTTCACAAATATGTTCCATCTTTCTAGAAGTCTCTGGAAATCGGAGCCCTGAAGTGAAATTTCAAAGACCAATGAGAAATCCTATCATCATATTCAAACTCACTTTGGAGCATATGGAGGACCGGTAGAAAAAGGTGGTGACTCTGTCACTATCAGGTCAATGTCCTGACACTTAGGGGTCCTTAGTACCAAGAATGGACTAGTGCTGAACAAAAGAGGAGTCAGTCATCTCTGTTAGCACAAGGTTCCTTGAAAATCTAAACTCCTGAGATACCAACATGGCGGTTGGTACTGAGGCAGAAACCTAAGCAGAAGTGATTGTGGCAGAGGGAGCAGATGGTACCATAGGCTTTATGTGCTCCAAAGAGTGTCTGCTGGATGTTAGTCTGGTCTTCTGAGGTACCAAAATGTTAGGTACTGAGGGTCTGGCTGATTCTACTGGTACTGACTTAAAGGAGGTAGTCTTCTTCTCTTTGTCACCTCGACTCACTGAAGGTACCAAAGATCTTTCTGAGCTGGAACCCTTAGATTCTTTGGGCTTACTGTTGCTCAGAGTACCTGAGGAATCTGCAGCTTCATGGGTACCAAGCTGGGGACGAGCAAGTGTCAAAGTTGTCTCAACTGGCGACCAGGGTTTCTTTGAGGTAGATTCCCTACCTGGGGAACCCAAGCTCCATTTCTTAGAGTCTTTTTGAGAGGATTCTTGAAGCTCTAGGGTAGTGTTATGCCAAAATGGGTGAGGCATTCAACTTGTTCAAAGGCTAGTGTACAGGGGGTGGGGGGTGCCATGGCCCAGATCAGAAGCTGGACAGGAGGAGCTCTCCTTCATAAGGAGGAGCAATTTAATCTCCTTGTTCTTTCTGGATCTCAATTTTAAGTCCAGGCAAAATTACACCTTTGGGGGATGTGTGACTCCCCAAGGCGACAGATGCACCTGGAGTGCCTGTTGCTCACCAGGATAGACTCTCAGCATGAAAGGTAACATTTAAAACTGAGAGTCAGGCATACCCCCTCCCAGCAATCTAAAGTTCCCAGCAGGGAAAAACAGAAAGAGCAATGGTCCTTACAACTTCTTAACTAAACTACTACTAATTATAACTAACTTCTACTACTATAACTAACTAAGCTAAGTAAAATTATGAGAAAAACTGCAGTTGAGGTATATGCCTCGAACACTGCTAAGGATCTGTCTCGGGCTGAGGCAGTTGAGAAGGAATTGAGGCTGGTTCACCCACATAGCTCTGTATAGCCACAGTGCAGTGGACAAGGCAGAGTAGAGAGCATGCACAGGCCAAATGGGCACTGCTGTGTAAAATCTCCAACCGAAGGCACATGGGGTGTATGCACACCTGAAGTGGAGCACTTATAGGGACATACTCAAAGATGAACTCTCTTTTATACAGTTGTCTTTTTTGTTGTTGTTCTATTTAAAAAAAGACTAGTACTCCAAGATATAAAATACTCATAAAATTATGGTTCCCCATAGAAAAGATTCTTGTTTTAGCCACTCTTTGCAGTATATCCTCCCAACCCTGTGAAACACAAGTCAGACCAGAGCTCCTAAACAACACTTCAAAAACCTCTTTAGATCAACACAGGAGACTTAAAACTACCAAGAGGGTCAGTTCTAGAGAACATCAAGAAAGAATAGGCCACACAGAAGCACTTTCCTATGTAGACAAAACAAATACAATACATATAAGATTTCAACATATTTTCGAGCTCTTTTAGTGTTGATAGAAAAATGCACATTCCCTTGAGTCCTACTGAAAATATAAACTTTACCCTGGTATAGGCTTTGAGAGTTTATAGAAACTGCCATAGTGTTGATATTGTATTTTATGTGGAGTATATTAGGCTGCTCTTACTTTTCAGTGTTGTCTCTTTCCTTTCTGAGTCCATAACAGAACATTTTTAACAACAAAATGACATAAGTATGTAGCACAGTGTGGGCACTATAAAATGAATACCATGGCCACAAATATGAGGATCAGTAAGACAGATTAACAATTAGAATCATACAGAAAAAATACCTGGAAATTAAACAAGAGATAAGAGTCAATCAATAAGCTGGTGCAAATATCAAAATCAATAAGATTCAAAACAAAATAAAACATCTTAAAATGATGGAGATCCAAGCAGAACAAGTCACTTATTCACACATTTAGAATATTATAAAGAGGTTAATATCACTGCACAAAGATTGGAATACGATGATTAAAGATTTTGGCAGAACATTGTAATCTAAGTGTTTTTTAAGCAATTCTGGAGTTCAATTTATCGGAGCATCAGAATCTCAACTAACATGATTTACAAAAAAGGCTTTAAAGAGTGATCTGCTTTAACTCTAGCAGAGAAAGACAAATGTTCAAATTGTATGTTACCATGGTATGAAAAAGGGATCAGGGTTATCTTTGCAAATGTCAAAGTTTGCACGATATGAAAGCTTTGACATGCTTTTGCTGGTCAAACATTTGGAAATATGAAGGACTACATGGAGACATTTTGACCCTTGAAAGAGGTATCCCTTGTTATAAAACACGCACACACACATTTTCTGAACCAAGTCAAGTAGAAATACAGAATAACGACAAGGTTTCCTCGAGCACTTGGGCCAGGGCTAGAAGCTGGTACTTGGTTTAACAGGATAAAAAGCATATTGCTTTTTTTTCTTGTTAAACTTGTAACCAATTAATAACTTTGCCCACTATTTAGAAGGAAGAGAACAAGATTTAGAAGGTAGTACATTTGAGAATTTTATTTTCCAAAACTACTTTAAAATACATACTTCGTTTTATAGAAGAGTCTGATTTCAGTGGCTGCCTGGACTGAGATTGAATTCAAATGCTAACCATATTCCCATAGCTGGGTTAAAATCCACAACAGTGTAAGGTTTTAGCTTTATGTGTGAGCACCCTTGCATCCTGTCCACACTACAACTTGATTAAACTGTAACCAGTTCCCCTGACTGGTTATAGTTGAGCATAGGCAGGTCCTTGCTGATACATTCCAGGAGTAATTATGCAGGTTATGGCACAAAAAATACAGCTTTAATTTGAATGCCTGACAAAACAGAAGACTTTCAAAGTTGCTGTAAAATACAGGGTAGAGGATGTGGACGGTTGTTAATTACTTTACAACAGCTTTGGAAGTCTTCCATTTTTACATACATTCAGCAAGAAATTGCACTGCACTCACTCAATCCATCTGAATTCCTACTGTCCATCTTTAGGCTGCCCATACCATATAGCTTCTTTTTTATTGCATTTTTCTCTTTATTATTATGTTTAGTAATGTTAATGACTTATTTTTAGACTTATGTTTAGTGCAGTTTCCCTTGAAAACAGAATTTCGGTGTTATTAGTGCATTTTTGGATGTTTGTGATTTCAGCATTACTGTACTGTTACATTAAAGGAAATGAGGCAGTGTTGCCCAGACAACACCAGCTTCTTGTTAAAGTCAATCAGCAGACAAAAAACTATCTTTGTCATGGAAGCCCAAGTTCAAATGCATGAGGATCAGATAATAAAGTTTTAAAACATGGCATTTTGTATGAAACAATATGCTTTCACTTTAGGTAAGAAGTGAACACAAGTATCTAAATCAGATGCTCTGGAACTAAAACAGTTAAAGTGAGTGCACTTTGAAGCTAAAAACGTGTCTCTGCACGTTCATATTATATTTGCACGCTTTAGGTTAAATAAATATAGTAGTACATTTTTAAGATTAATTAGTTCATCAAAAGAACAAAGTCAAGATAAATATTTAAATATATGCAGCCACCTAAATTTAGGTCCTAAACTGCACTGCAAGATTACAAGTGTTTTGTTAGTTTAGTGTAATTGCCTTAGATTTTTTTTTATTCTATTTTAAATATTGGGGTAAGGGAGTAGGGAGAAGAACCAGAATTAGTTTTGATAAACAAATTATCATCCCAACATCCTTGTCTTTTATGTCCCAAATATGTAACAGGAAGTGGTGACTTGTCAGAGGTATGTATAGCTGTGCCTAAATTATAGCTATAAAACCAGCTACCCAAATTCTCAAAGAACTTCTAGTTAGAATCTACTCAGATTACTTGAAGATAATAAAAAAGAATTAAGCTAGGAAGCTGAGGGGTTTTTTGCCCACACATTATTTAAACATGAATCTAATTACTGGCATTCATGGAATGGTCGTCTCACTCCACCACATTTCTCTTAAAACAAA